CACGCGAGAGTTGTTGCAGGTTATCCTCACCAGGACAAGGCAGGGACGTTTGGGTACTGCACAGCTTCCTTACTCCCCTCAACCCTGCCCCTGTCCCCCAGGGCTCTAAGACACCCATCCTTCCCATCTCTACCTCTCCCACCTGTAGCTCTCTCCTTGTTGTTTTTGCTTTCCTGTCTTACGGTCCTGGGGGAGGGGGAGTGACTGAGAGTCTAGAACTTTTGAGGAAGTCACAAAATTGGCCTCCCCAGGAACTGGAGGTTCGACAGCCAAAGAAAGGAAAACCAAAACCATATGACCCTTGAGTGCTGAGATCCCTAAGATGGTCCCTAGGCAGGTGTTTCAAAAACCAGAAAGTCACACTCACTCACTCACACAAACACACGCAAACACACACCTCTGCCCCTTATGGATCTAGGTGCAACCTGAAAGCACAATTAGTTTTAAAGGGTAAATGATGGGGGCCCTGTATGCCCTACCCCCAAATCCATCCTTCCAGCAAACAAATAGTCCCCCTCCACATCACATAGATCAGGACTCCCCCTCCTCACCCACCGCCTTGGTCTCCTGGGTTGTTTCTGCAAACCCTCCACCAGCGTCACCGCCTCCTCGCCACTCTCTGGCCGTTGGCCCCGCACCCAGCTCTGCAGTTCTCCAGGCAGGACGGTAAGGAACTGTTCCAGCACAAGCAGCTCTAGGATCTGCTCCTTTGTCCGCCTTTCTGGCCTCAGCCACTGATGACAAAGTTCTCGCAGTCGAATGAGAGCTTCTCGAGGGCTTGCGGCTTCCTGGTAGCGAAAGCGCCGAAAGTTCTGGTGTGAGGTCTCGAGCACAGGGTCATCTCTCTGTAAGACAGACTCTGGCCTACAGGTGAAATCATCTTCCAATTTCACCATGAGAATTCCCTCTTCTTCCCAAAGATCCTGGTCCTCTGGTTCCAAGGCTGTAGCCATTGTTTGGCTCTCGGGGGGGAGGGGTCTCACACCATCTAGAGCTCACACTGTCATTAGCCCCCAGTCTCAGCCTGGGCACCTCAAGGAGTTTCTCCCAAGGGACCTGGGGCAGAGAAGCAGAGACAAACATCAGTATAAGCGTGAGATTATACACAGGGAAAATAGTTCTGAGTTCACTCATAACCCCGCACACATAACACTTCCTTACACTATTAAATCCCCTGCCCTCAATCTCCACAACCATCAGCTATATGATAAATAGATTTGGCTGAAATCGGATGATCTATGCCTCAAGTTATGTTCTCTTACCCCTTGTCCTTGGCCAGGTTCACACCCCATAGAGAAACAGAAAAAAAACTGCATCTCTTCTTCAAGAACCCTGTGAACCTGCAAGGAGAATGGAGAGGACCACGGACGCTGCTCATGGCCTGCTAGAACACGTGGTACTGACCATGTCACACACACGTTTACATACACACCAGGAGAAGAGACGCATCCGCCAGGCTAAAACAGATGGGGAAGCCTTTATAAAGGCTCATTCAAACTGAATTACACTCAATATAAATTCCTCTGTAAAATGGGGACTCTCAGAGATTTGAGGGGCAAATTGTGTGAGGTAACAGTCAGGAAAGCCCCTTATACAGCGGCAGGCGCACAGGCACCCCTAAGAGCAACCTTCCGCTTATTAAGATATCTTAATGGGAAGACCTCCAGACCCTCAAACCCAAGTGTTCAAAACTGAACTCATTCTGCTGACTCCCAAATCCACCCCTCTTCCCAAGATCCTGTCTTGGCTGAGATCATCACTAGCCAAGTAAACACTCAACTTTGTAATCTTTAGACTCAATTCGGATTCTTTCCCATTGCTTACAGCCCATTAAACCAATTCTACCTTGTAAGCCTCTAAATCTGTTTCCTCCTCTTTGCCACAGACCGCTTTAGTTTGGGCCTTCAGCTCTCGCCTGGACTATTGACCTAACTTCCTAACTGGGATCCCTGCGTACTCGACCATGAGTAAAGGGCAGCATAATTATGGTGAAGCTTTTGCAAAATAAGTATCGCTCAACACTCTTGGGGATACTTGGGATTTAGTCAATGTAGGCAACTGTATCTTTAGAAATGCTGCATGTGGTCCTGATGTGTGTGATGGTGGAGGACAACTAGGGCGTGTAAGGTAAGGAGTGAGTCTGGTGCCAGGGGTTAAATTTGGGCTGTACCGTTTAGTAGGTGTGAGGCCAGAGTTAAGTTCCTATGCTCCCTATGCCTGTTTCCCCATCTGTGGCATGGAGGTAAGGATGGTATCCATCTAACAGCGTGACTATGAGGATTAAACATATCACCCTCTGTCAAGTGCTCAGAAGAGCAATGGCAACCCAGTGTTAACCATCTTTCTAAATTACAGTCCCAACTGCACCGCTCAACATTTAAAAATACTTCTGTTAGTTAAGATCAGCTATAACATCCTTGGCATGGCACATGAAGCTCTTCACCATCAGCCCTCAGTTGATTTTTCAAGCCTCATATCCTCCCCTTTGCTGTGTTATCGTGGAGCTATCATGGGTGCATTGCTGATCTTCCAATCGAAAGGGGGTGTCTTTTCAGGACACCATGCCTGTAGGAAGGCTGTTCCTTTTAAACGCAACGTTCCCACCCCCCACCTCCAATGCTGCATGGTGTGTTCCATTTCTTCACATGGCCCCCTCTTCTTCACTCCTATGATTTACACTCTAGCTCCTTATCAGTTCTTGTCTGGATTGCTCCAACTGCCTCCAATCCTGAGCCACCTGCCTCCAGGTTTGTTACCTTCAAGTTACCAAGGACAGTATCACAAGAGTGACCGGCACTCTTGGCAAATGTGATCATGTCCCTTCCCTATTTAAGATCCTCAACCATTCCTCTGTCTTGTAAGTGAAAAGCAAACTCCTAAGTATTATAGATTAGGCAGACTTTCCTTTCGCCCTCCTCTTCAATCCTTCCCAACACACACAGCGCACGCGCGTGCGCGCACACACACACATTCTGTATGCCTGTGAAGCACCTACAAATCCCATCTCTTTGGCTTTAGAACATGTTGTTCCTTCTGAGTCTTTACCCTTCATTAGGTGAAACTTTACTTCTAAGACAGCTCAGACTTCATGTTTTCTGAGATGTTTTCTTTGATCCCATTCCCCTTACCCTTAAAATGGTGAGCAATCACTGTGCTTCTGCAGCAACATGGGCACACCTCTATCACACGTCTGTGGTATCGATCCTGGGATATTGCAATACAGCCACTGGTTAAGCTTCCTATGAAACTCCTTCAAGTTTCCAACATGCATAATGAAGTGCACAGTAAGGGAATTTAAATGAATAACTAAAGTTTTCTTCCTCTTTTTTATCAGGAAGAATCCATCTTTCCCTCCATTGTTTCTACACTCTTTTTTATTCACTGATCTTGTTAATCCTTCCTTCTAAATGTCTTTCCAATTCACCCATCTCATCTCCACTTCCATTCCCCTGGTTGAGCCAGTAGGACCTTTTAAAAACATGACCGTCTCCTACACCACACTGGTATGTAACGGACACTTGTATGTTGAATGAACGACTTTGTTCAAGTCACCCCTAGTCTTCCCAGTCCTGCCCCCTCCAGACCCCTCTCCACATGCAACCTGAAGGGTTCTTCATTTTTCAGTCTTTTGGGGCTTCATTACCTCAGCCTCAGATCCACCTTCAAGGTTAACGATCCGCTCTTAAGAGCTGGGTCTAATTAGATGCTGCCCATCAAACTGAGTTTAATTTCAATGACCCTATTATTTATTTTTATTAACTGTATCTCAAATGCCTTTTCATTCATTCATGCTCTTATTTCTCTTCCAGTAGCCTCAAATATCCACTACCTACTTTCATAGTCTGCTTCACAGAGTTCCCTCATTTCTCAGTCTTTATGTGGTAATTGTCCCACCTACTGAATCTGCAGTCTCTACCCCATGGTGGTCTGTTTTCTACACAGTTTGTGGTTTTTAAAATGTTATGCCTATCTTCAGGGAGATTTTCTTTGGGAGTTCTGAGAGAAGACAGAATCGATAGAGAGTCTTTGGCATAATGAAGGGATCTCAATCATCTTCAAAGTCTGAGAACCCATGCCCAGGAAAGCAGACTAGAAGCTCTCCTTGTTTCCACGGAGCACTGGCTACCAGAGATTGTCTACTATGGAGTCTACAAAGTCTGCATTGACAGAAGCATTCCTGCTCTCGCTCTCCAAAGACAAAGGAACAGTTTTACCCTAATGCTGGCCCACATAAAACCTGCTGTTTCTAAATCCGCTTCAGAAATCAATTGAGGGGCACCTGGGTAGCTCAGTCGTTAAGTGTCTGCCTTCAGCTCAGGTCATGATCCCAGGGTCCTGGGATCGAGCCCCGCATCAGGCTCCCCGCTCTGCAGGAAGCTTGCTTCTCCCTCTCCTGCTCCCCCTGCTTGTGTTCCCTCTCTGGCTGTCTCTCTGTCAAATAAATAAAAATAAAATCTTTTAAAAAGAAATCATCAATTGAGGTTTCCATTGCTTGTTTTGGATTTACTTTGGCAGCTCAGGAAGAGATGAAGGCAAACAGATCAGCAATGGCACGATGAAGGGCAGAAGAGGAGTCCCTGGTGGGGCGAGGGATGGGAAGGAACCGGAGGCAGGCGGTGCAGTGGAAAGAACACTGGATTAGGTATCCAAAGACGTGCGTCCTAGCCCCACACCCTCAAGTAACTGGAGCAGCTCTAAGGGTTCCATGACATAACACACACAAGAGCCCTTGTAAAGGGGAAAGCCCTCTGCAGAGAACTACTCTCCTAACTCACAGGATTAGCTGAGCTCTGTGAGCTTATGAACTAAAATGTGCTGTGCAAATGTCAAGTATTAGAAACAGAAAACGGACATTGTTTCATTCTAGGTTCCTGGGATATGCTACACCACAAGTCTGCCTGCAATTTGTTGCCCTTGGCATTCTAATACCTTCCCTCAGTGTCTGTCCTTGGAAGGGTTCCACAATGACAGATAAAACTGAAGAGGACTATATAGAGAGACTGAACCCAGGCCAGGAAGAGCAAGACTTGGTTCCAGAAGGCTCTGAAACAATGTTTGCAGAAAAGCTTCAGAAGCCTAGGGATGGGTGCACTCCATGACCTAGTCTCTGAGTAAGTGTTTCTACGATGTATGGAGCAGGACTGGGGAGATGTGGAAAAGGTAAGAGCTTTCTCCGGTCTTTGGTCCAACTACCTCTGACCCTTATCTGAATGTGTCACATGCCAGTGAAGGCCGTAACTGCATTCTATTGACAAGAACAGAAAACTGCAGGCATTAAAAGGATATATGGTTCTCTACCTTAAAATATGACTACTTGGGGAGAGCTTTCTGGATCCTAAATGACAAGGTTTGTGGTCATATAGTATCTACCCAGTAGAGAGAGACTGATCTGTTTACTGGCAAATAATCTTCAGTAGTGATCAGAGAGGTTCAAATGATTATGTTTAGCAGATACTTATTTTCCTTCCTGCCCCCAATTTTATTTTTTACCCTAATGCTGGCCCATAACCTGGAAATCCGGCTATGTCTGTTCTCTGGGGTTAACCAAACCTTCCAACTGCTCTTCTCATTGTTCTAGAATAGAAATCAACTAATGAAAATTGTTAACTGCCCTGTTCTAATGCTGTATTCTTCTTTTTTAGAGAGGGAGAGGGAAGAGAGAAAGGATGGGAAGGGGTAGAGGAGGAGGGAAAGAGAGACTCTCAAGCAGGCTCCACACTCAGCATGGAGCCCAACAGAGGGCTTGATCTCACGATTCTGAGACGAAACCAGTCTGTTACCCAGACGTCCCGCTGTATTCTTCTTTAAAACTAAAGATTATCTGGTATGATCCTTCTACTGGAAAGATGATCTTTTATGGTTAATTATCCTGTATACAAGTGTTTATCCATGCTTTCCACATAATGGTTCAGGGCTTTGGAGCCCTGAGTTTGAATCCCTCTCCTCATTCACTGGCCACGGGACACTCCCTGTCTTGGTCTCATTTTCAAAATGTGGCTACACTACCTCCCTCCCATGGTTGTTTTAAGGAGTAAATGAAGTAACGTATAGAATCACTGCAGCATAGAGCCCAGTACAGAGTAGATGCTCAATAGATTTTGTTCTCTTTCCTTCAAAATGCTTTAAATCCTTTTGGGAAGAAGGCAAGATTTAAATGATAAACAGGCAAACAGTCCTTTATTTCATTCATCGTCATTCCAAAAAATTTTAAACGCACAGGAAAAATCTTGGCCTGTTTACTGTTATATTAAAAGTAAAGTGTTAAACTGAAAGAGTCCTTGCTTTGAAAGACTTATCAGCTAAGATTAAGAGCCTTGGAACACAGATGGGATGGAACCTTCCAGCCAAGTTCTCCTGCCCAAGACCTATCAGTGGTGCTTCTCCTTACCAGTGTTGCAGTCCTGTCTCCTCCCTCGAACTGGGAAGAGGCATTCTGGGGCAAGCCCAGTTAGTATACCTACTAAGTCCCTTGAAAACTTAACCCAGAAGGCTGGAGAAATGAAAGGGAAGGCATTTGCTGACTTCTGGCCTTCTAACAAATCATAATTAGTATGCTTCAAACTATGTTTTAAAACTTTTTTTTTTTTTTAAGATTTTATTTATTTATATGACAGGGAGAGAGAGACAGCGAGAGCAGGAACACAAGCAGGGGGAGTGGGAGAGGGAGAAGCAGGCTTCCTGCGGAGCAGGGAGCCCGATGTGGGGCTCGA